TCAGAGCGGCTGTGTCAGCAGAGCCCGAGCTGTGCCGTGCACTGCCGTCCTATCTAATCTGATCGTACAGTAGATAACGACGCGTCCATATCGGGCATATAGTGCAGAGGTTGCGGGTTCGAGCCCGTGAAAAGGAAAAAATTAAAAAAATGGCTAGGTGCCGTGCCAAGTTGTGACATTACCCCCCCCTCAACGGCGCATGACCTCATGCGAGGCGCCCTTGCCCATCTCCCACCCGGAGCGGCAGCATGCTTCAGTCAGCAGCAAAGGCATTGGCTGGAAGTTGAGACCACCAAAGATAGCAGCATTAAGGCAGCGAGGGGCGTTTGGGTTCTTCCGGTGGAAGTCGGCTATGAGGGCCGGCGCATTGGCAACGTTGCGCGCCGGTTCCCATGACGTATGCGAATCGTCATAACCCTTCCATTTGACGAGGTACTGTAGCTGACGCCGGAAGATTCGCGAATCCTTGATCTGCTCAATCTCGTATTCCTCGTCGCCCTCAACCTCGATCGCAGGCGGCTCCTCCGGCTCCCGGCCCGGGATATCGCTACGCGTGTACTTGCTGAGCAAGGAGACATGGAATACCGGATGCACCGGCACCGATTTCGGCAGGACTAATTCATAATCCAGGTCTCCGAGCTTTTGCCGCACGGCATATGGTCCAAGGCGCTTGGGACTGAGCTTCTTGCTCAGCTGTTTCAGCTTAAGGTTCCGAGCGTCGAGCCAGACCTTGTCCCCCAGCGCAAAGACCGGTGCCTCCTGCATGTGCTTATCGTAGTACACCTTCATGCGCTCGGCCGACAGCTCGAGCGCAGAGTGCATGTCATTGCAAATCTCCTTCAGGATCTTAAGCCGATCAGCGGCAGCAGGCATCGCAGACATTGGATTGATCCGAACCTGGATCTCAGGATTGTACCCTTGATGCAGGAAGAAAGGGGAGTGCCCGGTCATGGAGTGAACTCGGTTGTTCAGTGCAAACTCCGCGAGCGGTAACTGCTTCGCCCAATCATCCTGCCTGTGGCTTGTGAAAGCACGCAGGTACTGCTCGATCTCCTGATTCCAGTGCTCAGTCTGGCCGTCTGTCTGGGGATGGAATGCTGTAAACAGCGCTGGCTCGATCCCTAGTCCCTTGTACACCGCATGCAGGTATTTCAAAGCGAACTGGGGACCTCGGTCTGATATGACCTTGGCCGGGGCCCCATGATGCTTGAACACATCGCGGATGTACAGGTCTGCCACACCTTCTGCCGTCAGGGTCTCATGACAGGCCGAGAAGTGGACCTGCTTGATAAAGCGGTCAGCGGATCGAGTCGAATCCATCAGACTTCGGCAAGCCGACGATCATATCGGTCGTGATGATCTGCCACAGGCGCTCGGGGATCTCATTCGGCTTCAGCGGACCCTGGGGCTTGGCTGGGAATGTCTTGGTGCGGTTGCACACGTCGCAGGTGCTTACGTACTCATTGACAAACTTGGACATTCCTGGCCACCAGTAATTCCGCAATACGAGCTCAAGGGTTTTGGCACGACCGCCATGACCGGCGATCAGCGAGTCGTGGTGGATCTTGACAATATCCCGCCGTAGCTCTGCGTTCTTTGGGACGTATACGCACCCGTGGAACAACAGAAGCCCTTGTTCGGCATTCCACTCCTCAAAGCCCCTTTGCAGCCGTGGTGGCCCGAGGTTCTGCACCTTTTCGAGTGCCTCGGCCACCTCCCGATCCTTCTCTGAACATTCCCTGATGCGCTTCAGAAGCAACTGATCGGCCGTCACCAAGGCATGACCGCGCCTGGCGGAGGTGATGCAGAAGCGCTCTGGCTTGAGAACCACCTGATCGGTGTTATCGTCCTCATCGCCGATCTGATGGTCTGATCGACGTGACAGGGCATCAGCCTTTCCATTGGACGTTCTGGCCTTGTGCGTGATGCGGAAGTCAAAGCGAGCCAGGAACAGCGACCAGCGTGCCTGCCGGCGCGTGAGGTGCTGTGACGTGCGCCAGTACTCGAGGTTCTTGTGATCGGTGACGATCTCGAACTGATTGGGTAACCCCTCGAGATAGTGGCACCAATCATCCAATGCTTCGATGATTGCGAGCATCTCCTTATCGTAGATCTCGTAGTTCCGCTGTGCCGGATCCATCGCATGAGACCTGAAGGCAATGGGATGCCATTTGCCGTCATCCTGCTTCTGCATCAGCACACCGCCAGTGGCGTAGCCCGAGGCGTCAACTTCAATGCGCGTCTCTCGATTAGGATTGTACAGTGCTAGGACTGGAGTCGTCGCAAAGAGCCGTTTGAGCTCATCGAAGGCGTGCTGCTCCTCTTTGCCCCAATGCCATGGGTCGTTCCCTGTGAGCCGGTCGAGCGGTCGCGAGATCTTAGCGAAGTCCTTAATGAAGTGGCGGTAGAAGTTGGAGAACCCCCGGAACTTCTGAACGTCTTTCTTGTTCCGGGGTACCGGCCACTCATTGATTCCTTTTAGCTTCGCAGGATCCATCGCTACCTCATCGCCACCGAACACATAGCCGACGTAGTTGACCTTGGGAACATCCCATTCGCACTTCTCAGGCTTCAGGAATAGATCGTTATCCTGAAGGCGGCGTAGAACCTCGCGTGTGACCTTTTCATGCTCCTCTTTGTTGGTGGAGAAGACGAGTATATCATCTAGGTACACGAGGATCTTGCCACCGATGATGAGATCGTGGAAGATCTCGTTCATCATAGTCTGGAAGGTCGCGGGGGAGTTGGTGAGACTGAAGAACATCACCAGGGGTTCGTACAGCCCCCGGTTAGTCACAAAGGCCACCTTCCACTCGTCACCGGCTTTGATCCGGACGTTGTTGTATCCCCATCGGACATCGAACTTCGTGAAGAGCGTAGTGCCGCGGAGCTTATCCACCATTTCGGCGATCAACGGTAAGGGGTAACAATTCTTGACCGTGATCGCGTTCAATCGGCGGTAGTCCTGTACAGGTCGAAGCGTCCCTTCCTTCTTTTTGATGATGAAGAAAGGGGACGAGATGGGCGATTTTGACTCCCGTATGTAGCCCTTCGCTAGTTGCTCCTTGAGGAACTTGTCAAGCTCCTCCTGCTCGTTGTTCGACAGGGGGTATACCTTCGAATGGAACGTGGAGTAGCCGGGCACGAGTTCGATCGCATGATCGTACAGTTTCCTTTCGGGTAGCCGTTCTGATGCTTCCTTGGAGAAGACATTCAGGAACTCGTGGTACTGTTTAGGTACCGACTCCTCGGCGGTTTTGACAACCTTCTTCTTGATCTCTTCCTCAGTGAACAGCTGGGAATACGTGTGCCCTGCTGCAACAAATAGCTGAGGGGCGCCGGGAAGCGTGATACCCTGCTCCCAGGCTTCGATCAAGTCGGCCTCATCCCATTCTACTTCCGTCGGATCTTCTTCGGGTTCGAAGTCCGGGAGTACCTTACTCCGGCAGGCGCCTATGACCGACCGTTTGGACTTCAACGAACGTCTGCGCGCCGTGGGCCTGACCCCCGTATTACGCACAGTCGCAGCTTGCTCCATTCGGCCAGTCCTTCTGGTACCGCACGTTTCAGGGTATCGCGACAGTTTGAGGGAGCCCTTCTCCCAATCGATTTCAGGGTTGTGTTTGCGTAGCCAATCCAACCCAACGATCACATCTTCCGGACCGATGTCCATGACCGTGAACACCGTCTTCTCGACGTGCTCTCCTATATGCATCTGTAGCACGGCTACTTCTGAGATGCTTCTGTCCTTGTTTAGGGTGCCATCGATATTATAGAGTGGAATGGGCTCCTTCAGCCTCCACGTCTGCACCTTATTCTCTGTGATGAATCACTTGTTGATAAACTTCGTGGTAGCTCCGCTGTCCACCATGGCGATTATGTCCTTGTGCTGTCTTTTCCCTTGAAGTCTTACTGGAATGTGAAAGTGCTGGGACCCCTGGTCCAACTCGTACACCATTGCAGAAGACAATACATCGTACTTGTTACATGATACTCGCGGCCCGATGCGTGCGGCATGAAGTGCGGACTGGATCAAAAACCCTCTTCCTTCATTGCCCGATAATGCTTGAGCTCCTCGCGCATCGACTTCAACTGTGCCATAAAGTCCGCCAGCTCCGATTGCTCAGATTTTGCTGAAGCGGCACTTACTTATACTTGCCGAGGGTGTAGTCGTGACGGGGGCGCTTGTCGCAGCCTGAATGGAGCCCGAGGCAACCGTAGCCCGCGCGTCGGCACGTTTTGTGTAAGGCTTGTCCTTACAATTGGGGCACTCAAAACGTCGGTACCCTTGCTTCCCACAGCCGAAGCATGTGCCGGGGAAGTTGCCTTTTCCGACGGCCGCATTGATGCTGGCCGAAGCTGCGTGTGACTGGGGTGCACCACCACGTGCCCCACCGCGTCCTCGACCTCGGGCCGAGAAGAAATTGTTCAGCTCGGGCCGACAAGCCCGGCTGATGTCGAGGATTTGCTCGACCTCAGTGGCGCGCTTCTCAGCTGCTTGCCACGTGGTGAAGGTTTCGAGCTCGATCTTGCGGTAGACGCAGGAGGGGATGCCACTCAGGTACTTGTTGCGTAGTTCCAGGTCTCCATACCCGGAACGGTCCGCCGGACCCTTGAACAGCGCGGAGAATTCCGCGGCAGTGCGTTTTTCGCGGACCGACTTGTCCGCGCAGAGCTTCGCCAGCTCTACTTGTGCTGCCGCCTCGTCGTCGAGATTTCCAAAGCGGGCCCTGAAGGCGGCGGCAAAGGCCGCTTCGTTTGCGAATGGGGTCATGGCCCCTTGCACACCCACCTGCACCGATGCGAGCTGGGCAAAGTAGGGAGTGGCCCAGGCGCGGGCATCTCCATCGAGCAGGCTAAGGGCGACCTACACCTTGAGTTTGATGGTGGTCAACGACGTGTTGACCAGCCAGTAGATGCGCAGCTGCGACAGAAACCGGTTGCATTCGATGACGGTCTTGCCATCGTATCGGAGTGGGAGGAGAAGTTTCAAAGTCTCCTTATCGGGGGCGGCTGCAGGGGACGACATTATCGGCGTAGGGGGGGACGGAGGACACTGCGGGGGCGGAGGCGGCTGTGGTGGCCCTCTGCTGGTCGAACTTCGAGAGGAGCGAGTGCTCGAGCAGCCTCTCAGCGGAGTCGGCGGTGAAGGCGCCGAAGGAAGTTCGGCGGGGGGTTACGTACGTCAGGGACTGCTAACGTGGAGGCGAGCGCTGTCGGCGAGGCGGGCCGAGCAGGATCCGCAGACTCGGACTCCGAGACTCCTTCTTCACTGTCACCCTCCTCAGGCTCTGGCGCAGGGTCTGGAGGGAGATCTCCTCGCGCTTGATTGGCGACAGTTTGAGGGAGGTGGGAGGTAGGGGAGACAGGGCGAGAGTGCCGCGAGGCCGATCGAGATGCGAGGGTGCTTCGGGGTCCGAGTGGGTGTTGCGCTCGTCGGATCGCCTTGTAACGAGGGTAATCTTCCTCGATCGATCGGGGTGTCCGATTTGGGCACGGCTGCTGCTCGCAACGGTAGAGGGCAGTCTTAGGGCCATCTGGGATGTAGACGTCAATGAGGTCCTGGGAGTCGAACGCGTGGATCTGGCCCTGACAAGCAGCCACGATGGATGGGGGGAGGACGGGGAGGTGTGCGTACTAAAATGGCCGTACTACACTAGCTTATGCTACGGCGCCTGAGGAGACATTAGGGTTCGCAGTTCACGTGGGGCCCAGTACTGCTTTTGACTATTATGCAGCAGGAACCTAGTCCACGTGTCCGTGAGGACAAGTACCACCCACTGAAGTGCAGGTACTGAAGAGTTCGTTCCCTAAGTGTTGGCGATGTATGTACGCTATCTACGTATCGTATGTATCGTAGGGGTGCGCACCACCCGACCTATAGGAAAGGAAAGTGTGAGTATGTGGGTTCCGAGAGAACGCCGGTCGCTTGGGAGAGTTTCGACCTAATGTCGCGACTTGAGGTCAAGTGACTGGGGAATACCTAAAGGCTGGGGGCGTCCAACTGGTTCTTACCGAAGCAATGGTGAGCAGCGCTCAAACCTAAGGCTAGGGACAAGTAAATGCATTGGTTAGTAGGGTAAGAAAGAATATAACTGAGGGCTTACTGACCTAGGGACAAGAGGTCGAAACTGAGGTCCCTAGGGCAGCAAAGGCCAGCTTATATACATGGGGAGATAAGGGCAGGCTGTGCGCACTGGTCCGTGCGCAGCTGGTCCATGCGCAGCATGCCGACGCGGCCCTGGGGGCCGGTGAGTCAGAGCGGCTGTGTCAGCGGAGCCCGAGCTGTGCCGTGCACTGCCGTCCTATCTAATCTGATCGTACAGTAGATAACAACACGTCCATATCGGGCATATAGTACAGAGGTCACGGGTTCGAGCCCGCACCAAGGAAAAAATTAAAAAACGGCTAGGCGCCGTACCAACTCGTGACAAGTTCGCACATGATGTATGTGCCGCCCTTGTTGCGCAAGACAACGATGAGGGGTCCTAGATATCATGGGCACATCTTGCGGTTGAGGGACTTCTCAATCTTCGTGTTGCGTATGAGCACTAGGGCTCCGCGCTTGAAGTCGAAATCCTGGATTGAGTGCTCGTGCTCTTTCTTGAAGCGAATTGCTGCAGTTCGACGTGCTTTGTAGACCTTTGAGTGGAGTTCAGTGACTTGCTCGACGTGTTTCTGAAGCGCAATGGCTCTTCGGGCGATGAGATCGGTCGTCGAAAGAATTGAAGTCGGTGGTGGTTGCAGGTACGTAGCTTCGACGATGTCGAGAGGAATGAGCGGATGGGTGCCCATAACAGCGAAGTAGGGTGAGCAGCCCATGCGTCGTCGAGTCGTGATGCGCTCGGACCAAAATACAAAGTACGCAGCTTGGGACCATTTCTTCTCATCTCCGTCGGCTATCTCAAACAAGGCTTGTTGCGTGCTAAAGTGCGGACGTTCGACGAGACCGTTCGCCCTCGAATTGTACCCACTGATTCGAATATGGTTGATGTGGTACTTCTTCGAAAGGTAATCGGCCGCCTTGATGAACGCCGTACCGTTGTCGGTGACGATCTCACTAAGCGCGCCCCATCAACAGAGGATGTCTTCAAAGATCCAGTCAGCGAGGGCCTTTGCTGTCTCTTTTCGAAGCATTTGAAACTCGGGGTAAGTTGTGAGCGAGCATCTACCCTGGACCAAGTACTTGTATCTGCCCGAGGCTGGCATGTGCATTGTGTCGATGTGAATTTTCGCGAAGATGGGTGCAGGTACTGCAACGGTCGGAGGAATGAGGATTTGACGCACTTGTCGAGACTGGCAGATATGGCACGATCGAACGAACCAAGCAATGTCGGCGTAGTGGAATGGCCACCAGAATCGCTCATTGACGAAGGCTCGGGTTGCATAGATTCCTCGATGTGCGGTGCGGTCGTGGCATTCTCGAAGTATTCGAAGGCGATCGCCGGGCTTGACGACTAGCTTGTGTGCTCCGTGACTGTCCTTGCGCCAGAGGGTGTCATTGTTGAGGAAGAATTGCATGCAGTACTTGATGAATCCTTCGTAAACGCTTTCAGAGATGCCATCGGGCTTTGCTAATGTTCAATGAAATTCGAGCACGTCGTCAAGCTTTGCATCTGCGAGTTGCGCTTGCTCCAATCGAGGCATTAGCTCGTAGCTATCCTCCTCCCTATTGAAATCTGAGCTGTCCTCGGCTTTGTCACTGGTGAAGATGGCAAGCGAAAGGACCGGTGGGAGGGGCTGAATCTGGTGAACAAAAGAGTGCATCTGGTCGATCCAATCGTCGAACTCTTCGTCGACCTCGTCCTCGATGACATCACTGGGCTGAGCTGGTCGTCGAGAGAGGCCGTCGGGGCCATGCATTGTACCAGGGACGTGGACCAGCGTGAAATGGAATGTGAGAATCGAGATGATCCACTGGTTGATACTCGCGCTTGGGGCTATGTCTGGATTCTTCAGCATACCCTTGATGTACCGAGCATCGACTTCGACGATGAGGTTCCAAACGCCGATCAGGTAGAGTCGAAGGGATCGTAGTGCGCGGAATAGGCCGTAGATCTCGAGCTTCGGCTGTGAAAACCTTCGTTCACGATCATTGAGCGTGATCGAGCTGAACCTGCTGTAATAACGGACTCGCGTGTTGGCTTCATCGCACTGGCAGAGGTGATATCCGACGGCGATGAACGACGTGTTGACTACGAGAATGACGGGGGAGGGGGAATCATAATTAATGGCTCGGAGGGCGGGGGATGAGAGTAGCACGTCCTTGAGGTCTTCCTGCGCCGCGATCTGCTCCGGACCGAACTCGAACTCGACGTCCTTCCTCATGAGGCGTACGAGCGCGTTGGCGCGGTGAGCAAAATTACGGATGAAGATTCCGAACGACGCCGATGGTTCCGAGGAACGCTCGAACGTCGGATAGAGTAGCGCAGGGACCCCAGTTGCGTATCGCAGTGACGCGAGAGTCGTCGGGGAGGCGGCCTTGAGGAGTGCAGCGATGTCCTACCACCATGATTTCTCAAGCGATGAGGACACTTTTGACTCCAGAGAAGGTACCTCCGGCATAGCGCATTCGAGTGACCACGCGGTTCATGTTCTCAAAATGCTTCCATACGAAGCGTCGAATGCCGTGGTTCAAAGGGAGCCGCTCGTCGTTGTAGTCGGATTCGGGACCCTTGATGGGAACATTGTCGACGTAGGGCACCGTAATGTGTGGGATCTTGGGCTGGAGGATGTAGGTGATGTCGTCATGGAAGATCGGGACCGAGTTCGTCCAACCCATCGGGAGTATTACTAGGCACATGGCTCTGTAGGGTGTCTCGAATGTCGTTAGATCTCTTGAAGACTCGGCGATGAGTCGTTCGTCGTAGCCGACGTAGAGGTCAAGCATGCCGCTGCATGGTCTTCCTCCGAATTGTTCTGCGAGGTATTTGGGCGTCGGCGGTACACCGGAATGTTGGATTGTGACTGCATTGAGGGGCTCGAGGGAATGGACGAGTCGAAGAGATTTACCGTCCTTTTTGACAACACAGAACCACTGCAATCAATACAACGAGTTCGATGGCTCATAGACTCCGGCGGCGATCTTTCGCTTGATCACCACGCAGACTTCGTTGTAGATCCCGGGCGGAATGGGGATATTCTTCTGCACCCAGGGTATGTGAGGAACGACGGGGAAATCAACCGGAGGGAAGTACTCGGGCTTGAAGCATCCTCGCTTGTCATCGGTCCAGGTGAAGGCTTCGTTGTGCAGGCACATGAAGTGGTGGAGGACTCGACGTTCGTCAGGAAGTAGGAAGTCACCGTCGTGAAGCTTATCGGTTGCTTCAAAGCGTTCGAGGGTGTACCGACTGGTAGGTTTGAACGGCGGGGGGTCGGTCGAAAGCTTAGGCATGATGAATAGAGGGTCGTCCTTGATGTCTCGAAGTATTCAAAATTGTTCGGGGATGGCACCAAGGACGGGTCTGGTTTTGAGAGCGACAGGCTTGTATTTCTTCTTTGTCGTGGCGAGGATCTTGTGCGTTGAAGGGGTAGAAGTCGATGTCATCGAAGGAAAGAGAAGAATCAAGTTGGAGAACTGTGAGATGGACTTCGTCGGAATGAGAGCTGGCGGAGTCGAAGCGAACGGAGCTGAAAATAGAAGAGTCGAAGCCCACGTCGAAGCGTTTGACGGAGCGGTATTAGAAGCTGTACTGTCCGAGGCGTAAAGAGACTGCAAATATGAAGAAACGGAGGTGCATGTGGAGAGGTACAGTGACGAAACAGCGTTCGGAGTCGAGGAATCAATCGGAGAGACGAAGGAAATACTTGGTTTTACCCCATTGTAGTTGATGACTAGCGCGGCTTCTCCTTGATCATGGGGAATCAATTCCTCGAAGCTAGAAAATGCGATTTGCGACACCCGACAGGATGCTGCCGGCTTTGCGATCGTCCTCACGTGTATGTCGGAATCGTGACGGTTTCGCTGGTGTTCGGACAGAGAATCGTAATGGTCTGGTTCTCGTCGGCGAAATTCTTGACGACGCTCTGCATGAGCACGTCGAAGGGTCGGCCGAGGAGGATGTTGTACACTGCGTTTCGAATGATGTGAGCCTGAAGATACAATACGATCTCACCGATGCGGAAGGAAACATTTCGAATGAGTCCCAGCGATCGGTCCACCTCGCCGTTCGCCGATTGCATGTTCAGCTGGATAGTAGGATCAAAGAGGAGGTTGAGGCCGAGGCAGACCTCTTCCGACATGGCAACGATCTGTGAACTGGGGTCAACGATGCATTCGATTTGCTCCTTGTTGTCGACCAATGCAATGATCGAACAAATCGCGTTCGAATCGTGGGCGACAGTGAATTCCGCGGGGTACTCGCCGTGAGGGATATGCTTCAGATATGTTTCATAGGGGTTGGGGATGATTGTAGCACCGGGTTCCAACGTTGTACCTGAACACGAGAGCTGGTTGATGGCCATGACCTCGTCGGCGCTGATTTCTACGATGTGGGCCGACGCGACGGGTTCCGTCGAGACTCGCTTAGGGGTGACGGTGTCACGGTACTTGGTTCAAACATCCGGCGCGATCAAAAGCAACTCTTCTGGGGTCAGCGTGATGAACTGTGACTTCATCGAACACTGGAAGATTTCTTCGGCAAGCTTCGGCTGGATAACGGGGACGATGGTCTTGTACGCTGGTTTCTTGCCCTTGTTGTTCAAGGGCTTCGGCAGAGTTGTGAAGTTTCGAACATTTGGTGGGGCGTAGGTTGCGTCACGAGCATTTGCAAAAGGGTGTACTGGTGGTGCTGGAGGAGCAGACGTAGTAGTAGGTCGAAACGTGGATTGCGTAGGCAGGGAAGAAGACGATGCGGGTGCTGCTGCTGGTATCGTTGGAGGTGAGGCCGTGCTTGTCGAAGTGCTCGAGGGCGCTGCCACTCCCTTTGATGTACCAGATCCCGAGGCTTCCACGCTCTTCAGGATGGCTGCCGTCGTAGGCTTCTTCCGCTG